CAAAATATGGATCATATCCATCTAAGAACATGGATTGAGTTTAGTTGCATAGGCTCATATAGACATATATATATATATATATTTCTTTTTTGTATATATGAAGTCTACGTCTGTTTTTTTTTTTTTTGTTTTTTTTTGCACATGTTCAAGCTTCTTTTTCTCATTCTAAAGATACAAGATTTGAGAGATAAAAACCCTATTAAGGTTTTCTAAATCCTCGTCCATTTTCATTCTTCCTCTTCCTTTTTTGCCCCTTCTGTCTTTCATCCTGTGGATCCTCCTTGACCTTTCTTTCTTTATTCTTTTTTTTTTTTTTAAAAAAAAAACTCATTGTATTAGAGTTATGATTCAAAACAAAAAATCAAATCAAACCGCAAACTTAGCCCCTCATCAAGATCTGTCTTTCTTGATTGAATTTGTTATCGATTATTCTATCCAAATAATCTGTACTACATCGAGACAAATGAAAACTCAGGTGTATTACTCGTAACGTAGTTATTATATACAAGCAACTACCACACTTGAGCAAGATCCATGAAAAATATACTATAAATAAAAAATAAATTAGGGTTTATTAACATAAGTTTGAAAGAATCAACAGATCTAGGTAGCCTATTTATGGAACACTAGCTGCATTGTAATGATATTGTTATTATGTAGATACAAAATATTTTTTCGGTTGACATCGAGTACAACACACTCTCTGCAGACACAACTTATTAACTCTGGATTGAGCTAAAATGAAGATATACATAGTAAAATGCTCACAGAATCTACAAGATAAAACATATTATAACTAACCTTATGTAAAATTAAGATATTATAAATATTTATTTTTCAATATTGAAAGCCTTATGTGATGCATTGTTGAATTATGAACCAATTTTAAACTATACATGTGGAGGATTGAGAACAATAATCGAATATCAGCAGAGAGACTGAATAATAGGATTCTTCATAGGACTAAATGAGTCATATAAAGTCATCAAAACGTAAATATTATTGATAAAATCTTTTCCTACCCTAAATGAAGTATATTTCATTGTCCAACAAAAGAAAAAACATAAAGAAATCTTGTTGGATAGTTCAATCAAGAGAGTTTTGATTTTCAATGCTAGGAAATCAAATAAGACAACTAAGTGATCTAGTTTAAATCATGAGAGATATTATTATTTTTATCATAAGATTGTAGGTAATTTAATTGAACCATGCTTTAAGGCCACTTTGAACTCCTACTACAGCATGCCCAAACACACTACAAAAACTTGCATGAAGTAGCATGGATAGTTAAAGGGACACAAGCTTCATGGAAAAATCAAGTCATTGAGAGTTAACTAAGTCTCCACATCTTTCACACATAATAGCAGTGTTGAAAAACAACATGTCATCACATAAAAACCCTATGCAAAATTGATGCCATTATTGGAACATAATCATTCTTCAATACATCTTGTACAATCATCTTCCACTCCTTGTCAAGACCCTAATATGTCTAGGTTCTCTAATATGTATCATTATATCTCTACTCATTCATATAACCTAAAAAAGACACAATTATTTCTTGGATTATCAATACTGGTGCCTCAAAACATCATATCTACCCCGCATTTATATACAAGAATTACAACAAACACTTTTTCTGCAATTGTCTTATCAAACAATGATAGAATAAATGTTTTCCATGTTAGAACCATAAAGATAACCAATATGTTAGTTCTCCATAATGTTTTATGTGTTCTATATTTCAGCTTTAACATTATATTTGCTAGAAGATTAGGTTAAGAGTCAAAACGTTGTCTCATTTTCTCACCATAATTTCGTGTTATATAGAATCTTTTGACTTGGAAAACAATTAGAGTGGGTGAAATGAAACATGATCTTTACCAATTGGAGCAACATGAAGTTCCTTTCTTAGAGCGTTACCAAACCTTTTATGTCGTAGTTGTCCCTAATATGAACCAATATGAAGTTTTTTTTATCTTTGTCCGTTACTGCCTTGGACACTCTTCATTACTTAGGTCCAATTTTCTTATAGATAGGATACAAAGTATAAACCTTATTATGTTTATTCATTTGTTAAACTTTGTATACTTCTATTTCCTGTTCGTCAACATAAGTCTAAACATTTTTTAATCTCATATATTTTGACATTTAAGGGTCTTCTAATGAGATCTTTCATGGTAGATATCATTATTTTCTTACAATCGTGGATGATTTTAATAGATGTACTTGAGTGTACAAACTTAGATCCAAATATGAGGCTGACCTTAGTTTGTAAATCTTTTACACCCTCATAAAGAATAGTTTAATACAAAAATTAAAACCATTCACAGCGACAATGGGAGAAAGTCTGAGATGAGCGATTTTGATGTGGAACCCTGAATCAACTAACGTGATCAAAACCTCTACAGTTAATCTAATATATAGAATCTTTAAACTCTCAATAAATCCTCTCTACTTGATATATATTCAAATTGTAAATGTCAAACTAGGTAGTAGGGATAAAAGTAGAATTGATTAAACGCCACAAGATGCAATCTTAATAAGTGAAATCAATTTAAGAAGAATTGATAAATCACCACAAGGAACTTCCTTTGATAAGTTGAATCAACCCAGTATTCGACAGGATGGTTGTAGATACCTTCTTAAAGAACGCTCACACAATTAGAAAAAGTTAAAAGCAAACTGAAAATTTTATTAAATATTGAACTTGCTGTTACATGAAGGGTGGTGACCTCTATTTATAGAGTTTGTCATCTTTATTTGATTTAAACTATAAAATAAGAATTCTAAATCTAATAAGAATCCTAGTCCTAATCCTAAATCAAATTTCTATATGAAGAAACGAATTATCTATCAAATGAGTTACGTTGAGACTTTAGAATAAAATAGAATTGTAGAGAGAAAACATGAATAGATATTAAACGTATTAAATATTGTTAGAACCTGAAGTTCAAAAGTGGTCTCAGCCTAAAATACTGGAGTTATTTTCTCTTTACAATTGTATATTTGCTTAACAGAACTCCCTCATATGTCATTTATCACAAAACTCCACATGAACTACTATTTCAAAAAAAGCCAGCTTATAAACACCTAAGAGTTTTTGGGTGTTTGACTTTTGCCTTTACCTTAACTAACAACAGCCATAAGTTTGATCCTGAGGCAAAAAAATGTGGTTTTTTAGGATATTCTTTTGGTGTAAAAGATACAAATTTCTAGATATGGAGACAGGTAGGACCATTTCATCAGGTTTTCAACCAACAATGATGTCAATACCAATTTCTCTAATCCAATTCCCCTTTTTCCTACACTGAACCAAAACACACAAAAAACCTACCCCTCAGAGGATACAAATAAAGAATTTAACTCAAAGGGTATGCACTCTCACAATCATCACCTAGATGATACAGACAAAAGCACATCCTTTTACGGCCATTACTTAATAGAGAGGGAACCCATGACACTTAAAGACAAGATGACTACAATATTGATCCTTCTTACCCGATGAGAAGATTCACCATAATTAGAAGGCCTCCCTCCAATTTTGAAAGACTTTATATGTGAACATACTCCTGCTCCCATCACCCACTCACAAGTGTTTAATGAGAAGAAAGAATTGGTTAGTAAGGTTATACCCGTGTCTTATAGTACTTCATGTGCCAAACTTATTGATAAGTATAAAGGGTATGTGTTTTTCATTAACTCACAGAATTAACCCAATTCATATCAAGAAGCTTGTAAGAACTCTCATTAGGTAAAGGCTATGAAGAATGAAATAGATAAATTAAAGTAAAATAAAATATGAATATTCACTGATCTGCCACATAGAAAGAAAACTATAGAATTTAAATGAAGGATTATAATGTGCTCACTATGCGTAGCGGAAGATATAAAATAATCAAATATGATTTATTTGTATTTAAAAAATTATATTACAGGTCAAAGATCAAATCTAAAATACATATCACAATGAATTCTCAAATTAAAATTTTTCAAAAATATAAAAATTCTATGCATATTTACATCAAAATTGATATTTGATAATTAATTCTTTGATTAACGAAACACAGGAATAAACTGAATAATATATACGTTAAAATTTTCTCACAAAATTTTAACAAAATTGAAAGAACTAAATTCCCTCAATCTTTTATTTTTCTTTTAGTGTGCGGCTACAGGTTGTTTTCTTCTCCTTTTTTTTTGTTTATAATAGTGGCACCCTTATATATAAATTTATATATATCTCACATATATATATAAGTGGCATGGCTAATTGTCAAATCCTTTTGGACTTCTTCCTTTGCACGTCCAAACTAATTTGGGCGCTTTCTTTTTTCTAGCACCCAATTACATAAATCTCATATATATATATATGTATATATATATATATATGTTGGCAATAGAGTTAGGTTCATAACCCAATTATATATACATATA